AAGAAGAATCTTGCGCGAAGTTCCCGCGCGATTTATTCGCGCTCCCTTTACGAAATTCTCAGAGATAAGAGCTATGAGGTACCAAGGCACAACGGAGTGCAGACGGAAGAAATGTAATGATGCAGGCAATCTGCGAATGCATATGTGCATGCCGTAAGTACGAACGTGCATGCGTGCGAGCATTGCGTGCGTACGTGCGTGCGTGCGTGCGTGCGTGCGTGCGTGCGTGCGTGCGTGCGTGCGTGCGTGCGTGCAGCATGAGCCGTGTTTTGATGCGACAGTTGATCGCGTCTGATGCGGCCGTTGACAGTATCGCATTATTGTCCTACGTGTAGTGTCGATGAGTACGCGTGTATCCCCGATGTGCTTGATATTTTGATTGCAATGTGTTTCGCTTTTCGGATATTTATCGATATTTTATACGATATGTTTTATTTCCGGCGCGAATATAATTAATATGGTCGGGAGCACGAATGGAAGGTAGGCTGTCTCTCCGGCTGAGGAGATGAGCTTATGGTATTGCAACTCGGGATTTAATATTAAAATTAATGTGCGTAAAGTGCCTTGATTTTAAATAGGCTGAGACAAGTAACTCCCTGCCCCGTGATTCTGTCTCTAGCGCTTTGGCGGTAGGTTAGCGTAAACGGTCGTTCCCGTTGTTGTAGCCCGAATTACTTCCTACATTATTTATGCTATTATTTATCATATTATATCTTATCCTCACGATCATTCTCGAATCTCGGAATAGCCAGTGCTATGGAAACGCCGGCCGGAAATGCAAGCATGCAAAAGCAAGTCTGCAAATTCCAAAGCAGAGCGCGAACGGAATTGCGAGAGCGCGCCGTTTTGACTATATATGGTCCGATTTAGAATTATAACGCGACACTACTAGAATAACTATAAAAATGGTCGCTAAATCCGAGAGCGGGAGGGTGCAGTCACAATACGTAACAGGGCAGTTGTACTTCGTCACGGCCAGTCGTTATCAGTAATAGCGAGATTCACACACATTGTCAAAAAGTCATACTAATAAATCAGTACTACTTAATAAAAGTGAGTAATAATATTTAACCAAAAGAACCTTCCACTTATGATCCTGCTCGGAGTTTTAATTCCTAAGGTTCGGCGAACCCGACTTTCCTTAATTATAATCTTGTAACCCAATCCGAGCTACAACACCGTTTGGGCACAGTAGCTCCTGTGCTCTTTTCGCCCGTTTTAGGATTTGCGAAAGATGTGATTCAACTCTAGACGTTGCTTAGGTAGCTGATCATTAGAAAAAGGTTCTGTCTTTCTTCACAAAGGCGAATTTATATCCGAATCAGCCGATATTCGGTTTCGGTCAGTTCCAATTCGGCCGAATTCGAGTATGGATTTAATGGAACATATGTTTAGATTCTGCGAACGATGTTTTGGTTAACAATCGGAATCTCTCGGTTCGGTGACGTGAGAATCTACATATACATTGGCACGTGAATGGTAAAAGATTTCGCTCGCTTGCGACGCGGTGATCGACACGGTAGTTTTCCGGCGATTTTCTCGTCGTGCCGATTCTTCGACGAATGATCGGTCAAGGACTATCATTTATGAACGAAAATGGAAGTTCCTTATAAAAAAAGTGCAACTGTACTTTGCATTTTTTACAGATTTTTACAATCAACACTTTAATATTTAAAATATAAATTTATGTGCGCACTTTGCATATTGTAGAATCTTAAAACTTACATTAATTCATATCCAAAGTTTAAAATAATTATTATATTAATATGGCCAATAATAATATTTCAAGAATGAATATTAAGATGTCTTAAAGACGATTAAAAGATATACAGAATATCCTAATATCTTTTGAGATGTCTGAAAACAGAAAGACGTCTAAAAGAATGAAGTCTATATCTTAATTTTAGACGACTTATGGGATGTCTTGGATGTCCTATAAGATACTTTTTAGATGCTTTAGTATCGGTTCACAATAGTGATTTAAGCTTTAAGAACTAAGAAATTGTTCGATTATGAAAAAATAACCAATTATGATTATTCAATTTCTTATGGCTTAAAAATTAAATATCTATTGTAGACCAAAACTTAGACGTCTTACAAGATGTCTTTTAAAACGTCTTTCAGACATTCCATATGTCATTTTTTTTAGACATTTTATATGACATTCCAGATAGCACAGAGAATCGCAAAAGTAATAAAATAATTTTGTTACGAATCCCCAAATTATAAAATGTATCTCTCTTGAGAGATCTCAGCTGAGATCTCATTTTGGCTCATTTTCCCTGGTAATGTCTTGAAGATAAATTCATAAAAGTGATGCACTAGGACGTCTTTAAAACTTTGCTAAAATTGTCTTAAGGCATCTTTTATTAATTTCAAAATAATAACATACTGGGTTTTGCTAAACAATAAAATAACGGTTAGGAAAGTCAACAAACTATAATAGAATAGCTATAGATAGCTAAATTCATTTTAATCAAAAGACACTAAATAAATTAATATACCATGTAATAAACGATAATGAACGATGCAAAACGTTTCGACTTTTACTTTAAGTCTTCTTCAGCATGAATATGACTCCAATTATGACATTAAAAAATAACGTAATTATATAATAAAACAGTAAGAATTAAATTTAATTAAATTATAAGAAATAAATTGTAACGGATCGTTACTATTTGTATGTAGTATAAATATGTATATATATGTATATATATGTATTATATATGTAGTATATATATGTATATATATATACACACGTGTGTGTGTGTGTGTGTGTGTGTGTGTGTGTGTGTGTGTGTGTGTGTGTGTGTGTGTGTGTGTGTGTGTGTGTGTGTGTGTGTGTGTGTGTGTGTGTGTGTGTGTGTGTGTGTGTGTGTGTGTGTGTGTGTGTGTA